CCCACCTTACATTGTAATGCAAATTATCTGCCCCAGGGCAAGGGCAGCAACCACACCCACAGTAATCAATCACAAACTCTGGAAGTCACCCCAAGACTGCAAGAGACTTTGGGGAGATGCTTAGACACAAACCATAACATTCCACCCCTGGATCCCCAATGTCTCATGCATATCCCTTTATGCAAAAGACATTCTAGTCCATCTCTATATTGCCTAAGTCCCAACAGTTTCAGCATTGCTGGAAAGTCCAAATCCCAAGTCTCCACCATGATCCAAAGCAAACTCTCAACTGTGAGCCCCTGTGCAAATGAAAACTTAAACACTTGCAACATTCAAAGGCACAAGATAAACATTACTATTCCAAAAGGTACACACAGAAGGACACCAAGCATTGGGACCAACACAAGTCCAAAATCCAGCAGGGCAAACATTAAGTCCTGCAGTTCCATATGGGACATCCCAAGCAATCTGTGATGAGTTGTGATCTTCATGAAGCTCTGCCCCTAAGGCACTCAAGGCAGCTCCCATGGCTTCTCTCTTAGGCCCGCTTTGCTTCCTCCTTGCAGTTTCCCTTAGACGATCCACATTCCTGGCTTTTCCAAACTTCTGGGGTTTCCAATGAATAGTCTTCTCTCTCACAGCTTCACACACTTCCCTCTCAGGGGCACACTGCCTGGCCTCCCAGGCCTTCTTCTGAAATTGAAGTGGAAGCCTTCTGAACCTCAGAACTCCTGCATTCTGAATGTGCCTAAACCCAGCACAATGTGGATGATGCCAAGGGCTGCTGCCAGCTGGAGCACTCGCCAGGTTTTCCTCTCTTGGCTGTAGGGTTCGAGTGCCTGGATGGCTGAGCACTCTGACTCTGATTCTGAGGAATAATTTCTCCTCACTGGCACCATTCTGAAACCTGGTGAGGCCACTTCCACCATTCTGGAACATGGGGCCCAGCAGCATTCCCCTCAAGGCAAAGTCCCTGACCTTTGTAGTTCTGAGGCTGCAAAGGGTAGAGACTTGTCTCCTCCTGTGATGCCCTCAGGCCGTCCTTTTTAGTCTCAGGTTCCTTGGCAGTGGAGATCCTCTCAGTTCAATCTTTGCAGTCTGGAGCTTTCTTGGCGCTTTCTTTCTGGCCAAATTCACAGTTTGGACCATCCTGCTGGGCTCCTTGCTCTTCATTCTCAACATAAATCTGGCTAAAAGCCCCCAGTATCAACCAGGTCACTGCCCCAATATTTGGCTGCTTTGAAATATCTTTTGCCAGATTGATCAGTCCACCATGCTTAAACTCACTCTCAGGCAAAGTCTCTGGACACATCAAAATGCAGACAACTTTTCTGCCAA